TGGTGAGAACACTGAGCGTTCGGGTAAAGTGATTGTTGTTGTTGTTGTTGTTGTTGTTGCCCCCCGCGCGTTTCGCGTTCCCCTCTCTCCCTGCCTCATCCCGCCCAGCCCCCCTCCACCCAAGGCGCGAAGTGAATAGTGCGGCGCGGCAAACAGCTGTGATACACGCTTTCGCATGAAAGAAGCGTTGAACATTTGGTATCTAGCCAAACCAGAGAACCAAACAAACGAAGGAGATGTAGCTCACGAGCGTCATGATGGATCTATGAGCGAATCCAGCTGCTGGGTTCCCGCTCCCTTGATCAGAGCGGCCGGCAGGTGGGCGCGTTGGAGCCCGAACGATGGCACGCAGTGCCCAAATGAGGCGAGCCCCATCAGGCAAATGACCCTGTATAGCGATACGTTGTGTTCTCAACGAACTGAACATGACTGGCTGCGCGCAGAATCCGCCAAAGGAGAGACCCAAGACCACGCCGTGTTACGTCAATGTCCCTACTGTGAGTTTGTTTCATGCCATGCCATCGGGAGGGTGACCAGTCCATGGCGTCGACGGTCACGACGAATGGCCCGACCCCATGGTGCGCGGAGGTCGTGGGGGCCAGGCGCTTCGTTTCTGGACGATGCGCTTGAGGCATGGGGCCAATCCTTCGCGGCGACACCGTCAGGCAGCGGCAGGGGCGAGGTTGGCGCGCGGCCGCCGCCGCCGCAGTTGAATCAAAGGGTTTAGCTCCCGCTGGATCCTTCTGATCGCGTGCAGGAGTGCAGGTTCTTCGGAATGTTTGCGGCGCCCAGTGCGCGAGGTCCTCTATCAGCTGGACCGTCCGCCTGGGGAGCTGCGTCTACATGTCGTGAGCATGCAATGCAACTTGGATCCAGTCATCGCCAGGATTAGGAGAGACTGCATCATGCCCCGTGGATTCCAAAGCGTGGATCCAGTAGAAAATATGTGGGCCACGTTCGTCCACATCCGCCAACGTAGGCAGATACATGAGATAGCCTGGGCGGCATCCCGCTGCTGTCGAATATGTTGCGCCCGCATTGGGAGGATGTCCGCAGCCGAGGAGTGGATCGTTAAGATGAAACGGAGCTTCATCAACCCCAGGGCCTTCAGGGAAGGCCCGGAAAGTGGAATGGGCCTGCAGGCTGCGTTCGCCATTGTGGTCTGCCCGTGTACTTTGGTCTCATTTCCGCCAGTGCATGCGCAGATTCTGCTCAGCCGCCACGAGCACCGCTACCTCGGAGGTGAAGGTGTCGGCCTTGGTGTCGGTCCGGTTTGTCAGTGGAGAAGGTGTCTACCTCGATGCTGGGCGCCGCCTCCGCGGCGCGCTTGCTGTACCCCGCTGCGGCGAGGCCCGGCCCATCAATCCCAACGAGGAGGGGCACACCTTCATTCACTCACGCTTGCTCATCATCCTCTGCGTTTACATGTGCGCGCACACTTCCACGCGGCGCGCCAGGGTGAGCGGCCAGCCCGCCCCGCACGGTGGTCTCCGGAGAGCCCGCCGCAGCGGCGCGGGCACGGCAGGCAGCCAGGCCAGGCCCCCACTTCCCCGCTCCATTCTTTCATCGCCGCCCCTCCCTCCCCCAGGCAGGCTGCGAAGCGTCCGTCGAAGTGTCGTTATATTCAACAAGCAGGTCTGCCTGAAAGTCAGCTGTCCTTGTCGTAGCTGCAGCAGTCGTGCTTTCGCCGCGCAGGGGAGCCGAGCCGAGCCCCATCCCCCTCTTTCGCGCACGGCCCTGGGCCCCAAAACCTTGCAACCCGAACGCCCACTTTCGCAGCGGACAGGCCAGACCACGGCGCGTCCGATGGGAGACGACGCTGCCTTGCACGACCCTGCGCCCCAAAAGTTTGATGCCCGACGTCGGCCTTCGTACTCCCACGCCGCAGGCCCACCTCCTCTGGCTCCTTGTCTTCCTCCACATCCTCGTCTTCCTCCTTCGCCACCGCCTCATCCTCTTCCGCCACCGCCTCCTCCCCCTCCTCCCCCTCCTCCTCCTCCTCCGCCTCCTCCTCCTGCTCCGCGTTCTCCTCCTTCTCCTCCTCGTCCTCCTCTCCTCCTCGTCCTCCTCCTCCTCCTCCTCCTCCTCCTCCTCCTCTTCCTTCTCCTCCTCTTCCTCCTCCTCCTCCTCCTCCTCCTCCTCTCCCTCTTCCTCCTCCTCCTCCTTCTTTTCCTCCCTCCCCGCGCTCTGCAGCCCCTCGTCTCCCCATCCTTCTCCTCCCCACATCCATCGCCCCCTCCTACTCCTGCTGCTCCTCACTCTCTCCCGCCCTCCTCACCCCCTCTCTCCCCCTGCCCCCGCCCCGCTCCTGCCCCGTCCCCTGCCCGGCCCAGGCGACCGCGCCGGGCCGCATGGGGGACCGGAGGACGCAGTCCTTGCCGAGCTCGCCGCGCCTGCAGAGCTCCAAGAAGGCGAGCCAGGGCCCGCCGCCCCCGCCCTTCCCCCTCCAGGTCCCAAGAGGGGCGTGGGCTGGAGCCGGCTGGGGATCTGACGTGGTGGTTTCGGCCAGCAGGGGGGGGGGGCGGGCGGCAGGTTCGAGGTTCTGGGTGCGGGCATGGCTCGTTTGCCCGTGTCGGCCTCCGGGGGTTGTCTTCGCGGCCGAGACCATCAGAAAGGAATCCGGGGTTAAAAAGTCTAGACGATTCGCGAAATGATGCCCAGGCGAATTGCCCTGATCAGGGATGTGAAGGAGCATGCAGTGGAAGAAGAGTTTGGGGACGCCGTCATACCCAAGAGGGGGAATTGGAATTGGAGGATGGGGAGGAGGAGGAGGAGGTGGAGGAGGAGGAGGAGGAGGAGGAGGGAGAGGAGGGGGAAGACGGAGGAGGGACGATGAGGAATAGGCGGATGAGGAAGAGGAGGAGGAGGAGGAGGAGGAGGAGGAGGAGCAGGAGGTGGAGGAGGAGGAGGAGGAGGAGGAGAAGGAGGAGGTAGGGCGGAAGAGAACGAGAAGAAGGATGATGAGGAGTTCGAAAATAGAAAGGTTAGGGGCCCTTATGGATACCTCTCGGGATCTCTTTGGATGTATCTTTAGAGTGTCTTGGAGTCCTCTTGGTGCGTTTTGTGAGCCTCTTGGCGGTCACAGCGACCTCTTGGATCGTCTTGGATGGCTTGGGGAGGCCTCTTGGAACCTGTTGAGGGGGGTTCTTGGGAGCCTCTTCGGGGGCCTCTTAGGGTCTCGTGGGTGCCTCTTGGGGGCCCTCTTGGGGCACTGTCGCGAGCCTTGGGGGGCCATCTTGGGGCCCTTTTGGAGGAGATGGATTAACTAAGGGGGGGGGTACTAACTTGGCCCCCCCAAATCCGCCAGGCCCGCACAGCGCTCGGGCGCGCGCAGCGGGCGGCTCTCTTGCCGGGCCCCGTCCCTGCCGCGGGGTCCCTCCGACTCGCTCGCTCCATCCAGCCTCTCCTCTGCTCCCGTGCTGCCTCCCTCGGACCACATGCCACAGCCAAGCCCGAGTCGGGTGTGCTTCGGCGGCTGTATAACAGGTTGGCCGCCTTCCAAGCAAGGCCGTCCCCAGCCCGTCCGTGGCTCAGTCTCATCTTCCCTGAAGCCCCATCCGAGCAGGCTCAGTATTTGGAAGCCTGAGCTGCAGCGGTACACTGGAGAGCGCCCTTCCCTTCCAGGTGGGCTCGTCCGACACCTCCTCCGTGATAGACTCGGAGGGCAAGGAGACCGGGTACGACACCCCCGATGAGCTCCTGGACGACCAGCAGTCCGAGATCGGCTGGAGCAGGCGCCACTGGCGATATGCATCGAGCGGGCGGGGGGCCGGCTCGGCGGCGTGCGAGGAGGATCGGTGCGTTGCAGCTTCGGGGGGGGCCTGGTCTCGGGGGCAACGATAGGGGGGGATAGGCAAAGGGGGGGATGCATCGACCCCCAATCGCCCATTGATCGCCGATAGGGGCCCGATAGCCCCAACCCGCCCAGGAAGGTGTGGATTCGCTATCGGGGGCCTATCGCCGATCTATCGGCGACGTATCGTCGGTTCCAGGTCGATGCATCCCCCCCTAATTATGCCTCCTATGCCTATCCCCCCTATCGTTGCCCCTCATTGTCTGTCCCATAGCCGAAGCAGAAGACACAGCATAAACGAAGGCTCATGGGCCCCGCACGGATTTCTTGGGTCGTCTTTGGGCCCCACTCGCAGGGCCTACGGCGCTGCCCCACGGCGCCGCGCCTTCCGCGCGCCAGGGGAGGGCACCGCCGACCCGAGAAATCTGCGCGGACCTCCGAGCGGTGATGGCTGCGTTGAGTTGTCTCAGCATATTCGGGGGACCTTCTCTGTCCGACGCGAGTTCGGCGTGGACGCGACATGGGTCCGAACTGGACTCGACGAGGATTCGCTGATCCGACGCGGAACTGCGACGCGGTGGGACAGACAGGGTCGTCGAGGATGGGGGAGCATCAAGGTTCGAGGCTCGAGGTCGTTCTTCAATTTCGGCCTCTCTGAGCGCGTTTGGGGCCCTGGACTGTCAGAAGTCGGCCCAGAATGAAAGATTGGCCAGGATGGACCTTCGTGAGAGGGGTCTTTGGGCCAACTCTGACCAGACTTTGATTTTGGCCGGTGAGAACGACCAGGGTTCGACGACCGAGATGTTTGACCTTGCAAAAATTTCGCAGGGTTCCTTTCCCATGCGCAAAGAGCCCAAGGGTACCTTGTGTTGTTAGTGTTTCGGTTCCGGGGTGCGGTTCGGCAGTTGGCTAGTGCTCCTGGTATGCGAAATACTTGACGCTGCGATCGATAACTATATGAGAGGACATCCCGACCGAACGTGATGGGACAGTATGGCGACACGGTGTTACGACTTGGCATGGCCCTTGCCTTCAGGCCTTCTCTTCCCCCGTGAAGCTCTCTCCGTGTTCATACAGTGCCCATGCGCCCGCCCAGCCGGCATGAGGCCGTACAGCCAAGACGAGGAGGAGGAGGAGGAGGAGGAGGAGGAGAAAGACGAAGAGGAGGAGGAGGAGAGGAGGAGGAGGAGGATGGGGGAGGAGGGGGGGAGGACGGAGGGGGAGGAGGAGGGGTAGGAGAGGAGGCGAGGAGGATAGGAGGAGGAGGAGGAGGAGGGAGAGGTGGGGAGGAGGAGGAGGAGGAGGAGGAGGAGGAGGAGGTGGGAGGAGGAAGAGGTGGAGGAGGAGGAGGAGGGGGAGGAGGAGGAGGACGGGAGGAGGAGGAGGAGGCGGAGGCGGAGGCGGAGGCGGAGGCGGAGGCGGAGGCGGAGGCGGAGGCGGAGGAGGAGGAGGAGGAGGAGAAGGACCACCGTGGGTTCCGGAGGGGCTCTGGCGCTCGGGCCGCTTCTCGGAGCCAGGCCAGGGAGCACCTCCGTGGCCGAGGCTCGACCGTGACCCTGAAGAAGCTCCTTCGTTTGTTCCTTCGCGGCCCTTGCGATCGCAGGACGGCTGCATCGCACGTTGTCGTGGCAAGGCCCGTGCGATGCTCCGCGCGGCGGCGGCGCAGGTCGGACATGCACAGCACGCTGGGGGAGCTGCCGCCGGTGAGCATCTGGGCCAATGCGGCGGAGGACCGCCCCGGCCGCTGGCCGCTGCGCAGGCCGTCGGAAAAGAGGGAAGCAGTGGGGACGCGCACCAGGACACCGTGTGGTTTTCGTCGGGGTGCCTTGGGTGCCTTCGTTCCCCGCGGTGAGCGGCGACATCTCCCGATCGTCAAGAAGCTGCCGCGCCCAGTGTACCCTGGGTTTCTCCCCCGATCGCACCTCGCGCATTTCCTCATCGCGCCCTGGGGAGAGACCTCTCGCGGCAGAGTTCCCTGGCTTTCCCCGATTGGAAGCTTCGGCGAAGAAGCCCAGACTCTGGGCAATCAACTTTTTTAGTGTTCAGGGCTGGCTGCGACCGCGTCCCCACTGGATTGCATCGCCACCAGCAGGGGTGCCACTTCCAAGCGGGACGGTCCGCGATGCCTCCAGGGCAGGGGATGGAGGAGCTGGGCGCCACGCCGCCAGGAGGACCCCCTCGGATTCGGCTGCCCACGCGTACACATTGTTCATGTCTAATTCTTCGAAATTTCTTTGATGTTGATGCTTGTGTGGGGGGGGCAAGATCCTTTCATTCCGACTTGTTCTATCCTGGACCTCTTCCTGGCCACTAGGGGGCCAGGAACCATTGGAAACGATTTCAACCAGAAATGAGCACGATTAGAAATGAACGACGTGTACAAGACGCACGCCACGACGAAGAGGAGGAGGAGGAGGAGGAGGGCGACGATGTTCGCCATGAAGAAAAGCGGTCATTGGCCGTGAGGCGTTTGCTGTGCTCGGCCCGACACGGTGAAACAGCGACTCGAGATGATTAGCCGGTCCCGGAAATAGCGACTCGAGATGATGAGCCGGTCCGGGCGGGGGGGAAATAGCGACTCGAGGGGGTCCAGGATCCGTTTCCCTCGGGGCCCCTGCTCCCTCGTGGCAAGAGGAGGGGGTGGTGGATAGAGCGAAGGGGGAAAAGAGCCTGGGCTCTCTCCGGCGTGTCTGCGCTCCCTCCTCCAGGCTTTTCTTCGCGCGACACGACGTGCCCCGAAGGCCACACGACACGACGCGCCCCTCCTCCACTGCTCTTCCTTGCGCGCGCGCTACATTCTCAGTTGACCGTTCGTCAGTCGGGCGGCGAGAACTATGCACGCACCCGCACGCACACGCACTCTCAAACACACACACACACACACCGATCTTGGCCAGGCTCAGGATCTCTGTGAGTGCCCTCGTGGCCTGGCCAGCAGGGCGTGTGCCCCGATGCTGGGGCCAGGAGGGGCCCGGCCGGGATCCGTGCAAGCGCACACAGCTGCGGTCGGGGATCTTCTGGCAGCGCGCGAATCGCGCCGCAGGCTCCTGGCGCACCACGCTTCACGCTTCTCGAAGAAGAAGCGGCATAAACATAAACTTTTGGCGCTCCGCGCGGGTTTCTTGGATCTGCGCTGGGGCCGCCTTGGCGGCGCCTCCTCCGCCGCCCCTGGCGGGCTCCGCGCGCCAGGGAGGGGGCCCAGCGCAAATCCAAGAAATCCGCGCGGACCGTCGAACGTGTCTGTTTACGTGACTTGCTCTTCCTCTGTTCATGGCCCACCACGCTTCGGAGCGACACGCTATCCATTTCGCGAAACCGAGGCGTCCACATCCCGAGCGCGGCGCCATCCGCTCTCAGGACACAGCGTGTCGCCGGGGCCGCCGCGGCGGCACGCCATATCCCAAAGCTGCCGACCGTGACAAGAGCGAAGCCAGACGTGGCAGTCGGATGCGACCTCACGACAGGACCTGGAAGAGCCAGAACTGCAGAGAACTACCTCCGAAATCAGGCAGCTCCCCCAGGCGCACCCGCGACATCGTGCTCGCCCGACCGTGGCACCGCTGCGCCAGGACGCGTGCGCTCTGGATCCGTGTCTGGCGCCCGGTCGAGACCACGGCCGCCCTCGCTGGCGGTGTTCGTCCCGTTTGTGCCTCCTGGAGGCGTCTCGTCGCCACGGCTGGATGCGCCGCGGAAAACGGGTCGGTGCGGACCTCGGGAGGGGTCGTGGGATCGATTTTGACCATCGTATCGTGCATCTTCACCAACCACTCGTGCGTGTACCGCGTCTTCATCAACCACAACAGCATTGTTCTGCATCTTCACAAGCCATTACTCCTTACAGTCAAGCCGCATAGTAAGGATGGGCAACCTTCCCAAGGGTACCCTTGCATCCTTGCCTCCTCGGTCCATCCTTGGCCACTTTCGCTGGCCGCGCCCCGCTCGAAACGCTTCGAAATGGGCGTCCAAGGCCCCTGCATCCTTATCGCGCATCCTTACTCTCCGGGTTGACTGTAACATGTGCTGCATCTTCACAAACCGTTATTCCTCGTTTCCTTCAATTGCTGCTTCGAGGACTTCTGTCACCCTGTTGCAGTCAGGGATCGGCAGGGATCGCCTCTGAGTGGATGTAGGCCGGGCGGGAGAGTCGCCGTGGTTTCAATTGTTTCATCATCTGGCAGCTGTTCAGGAGGGAGAACAAAAACACAGACACAATTAATATTCGATTCCCCAGAAAAGATGGGAAAGTATGGGTAGTGGGGGGAAGACTGAAACCCAGAAGCTATGGGAAAATATAGGGAATCCGGTTATTTGTGTCTATGTATTGTGTGTCTCAGGGCCCCTTTCAGTTGTCTTAATTGGCCCTCTTCTGGTAGCTGTGTCTATGAGGAAAAGCTTGGATGCTCCGTGCGGAGCAGAATAGTTAGTTCTATTGTCCAATTCACACGTCCACCCATTATTCCGAGCTCAGCGGGGGCCTAAAGAAGGGCTCAGCGTTGCTTTTTGGCTCCATGTGGCAGACCTTTGAACGACCGTCTCGTATGTTGGCGAAGCCTGGAGGTTTGGAGTCAATCTGGATTTGGCGGGGCGATGTGAAAGGAGCTATCGCAGGTGATGCGGTCCGAAGCGTTCTCAAGCCCTGGAGAGCCAAGATGGAAGAACGGGCTCAAGTTGATGAATTGTGACACTTTGACCCTCACAGAGTCGTGTGCCGCCACCTTGTCGGCCGCGCGTCGTTTGAAACACTACCCGGTTTCATGTTGAGCGGTTGCATGGCGGCTCAATGTGTCGCCCGCTTATTCCAGAGATCGGTGCGCTCGGATCTTCCGAGGTGCGAGCTTCTCTGGAGGTGTGGTGGCTCCGCGATTCGCTGCGAAGGACGTGGTGGCATCCACACAGAGCGAGTTCCATCTGTTGGGCTCCCCCTCAGAGGGGCCTGATGTACACACCACGCCGTGTGACCGGCCGGAGAGCCAGGGACTCGAGGGACGGAGGAGGAGGAGGAGGAGGAGGAGGACGAGGACGAGGACGAGCACGAGGAGGAGGAGGAGGAGGAGGAGGAGGAGGAGGGAGGAGGAGGAGGAGGAAGAGGAGGAGGAGGAGGAGGAGGAGGAGGAGGAGGAGGAGGAGGAGGAGGAGGAGGAGCAGGAGGAAGCCGCAGAGGGGCTCGTGCACCCAGGCTCTTTGGAAGCCGCAGAGGGGCTTCGTTCCCGATTTAGCGTTCCTCATTTCAGCAGCCCGACTGTAGGTGGAGGGAGGAAGGCTTCTTAGAAGCGCCCCTGCTTCCCAGAAGCGGCGGTCCGATGCGCGGCCCGGCGCCTGGATGGCGCCCTTGTGCATCCTGGCGCGCCCGAGCCGATTCGGTGCTGACTGATCCTGTGTCTCGTCGGCACTCTTTCCCTCCTCGGCCCTGGCCTCCGTCCCCCCCCCACGCCCCTCCTCGTCGACCACCGCCTGGCAGGACTCGAGCTGAACGGCGTTTTTGTTGCGGGCTCGTGAGCCGTTTCCGTTTGGATCCCGCTCTGCAGCGGAGGCGGGGCGAAGGCAGAGCGAGGGAACACGAGCACACATGAGGGGCCGATGTTTCCCAGCACCACTGCCACAGGCAGGACGGGGGAGAAGGGAGGATGGGGCGGTCCTCCTCCTCCTCCTCCTCCTCCTCCTCCTCCTCCTTCTTCCATTGGTAGTGGTGGTGGTGGAAAAATCGACTCCTCCTCTCCTTCTCCTCCTCCTCCTCCTCCTCCTCCTCCTCCTCCTCCTCCTCCTCCCACTGGTAGTGGTGGTTGTGGTGGTGGTGGAAAATCGGCCCATCGAACAAAACGACAACGGAGCACGCTGTTTAGGTCGAGACACTGGCCGTCCAGCGTCGGCCCTCGTCCGTCCCCCAGGGCTCGTTTCGCTGACGCCGCTTCGCTTCGATGCGGTTTCGATGGATTCCGATTCCGATGAGATTCGATTTCGATGTCGAGTTCGGTTCCGATTCGGTGTCGGATTCCGATCTGGGATCCGATCCCTCCTTGGAGGCATGCCAGCCTGCCGATGGCTGCCGATCCGATTTTTTCCCCGGCTCGGCCGCCGACGTCCGTCGATCCGATGCACTTCGATCGCCGATCCGGCTCGTCGCTCCGATTCTGGGCCCTCCCGCCGTCCCAGGGCCCCTCCGTGCGGGCGGGGGCCCCGAGAGGACGGCCACGACGGAGCTGCGGCGGACCTGTGCGCGTGGCAGCAGGGCTGGGTGGTCGCGCCGCCGCCGCCGTGCAGCCCGCGCGGGGGGGGGCGCTTCGAGGGACCCCCAGAGATCCAGCGCACTGAAAGAGCCAAGGCGGAGTCTTCTCGCAGTTTTCGGCTCCCACGGGGCCCTCGCCAGGCCCCGGGACCGTCAAAATCACGACATCGGATTCCCAGAGATCCGACGTCGTGATTTTTTCAATGCGGGGTCCCCGGAAGTCTCGACCCATTCCCCATGCAGGGCCGGCTGTTCGTCTTGGGTCGTTTCTTGACAGTCCAGGGGCCCGGCGAGGACCTCTAGAGGCTGAGAACTGCGCGAAGCCTCGGCCTCGATGTTTTCATTACGTTGGATCTCGGGGCCTCTGGCTTCGAGGTTCGAGGTGTCGGGCGTCCTGCCGGCGCTCGGCCCCCTGCCCGGGAAGCCCGCGCGCGGAGCTCTGGGAGTCTTTGCTCGTGCACGTGTCCTCCTCCGCCTCCTCCTCCGCCTCCTCCGCCTCCTCCTCCCCCTCCTCCTCCGCCTCCGCCTCCTCATCCTCCTCCTCCTCCTCCTCCTCCGCCTCCTCCGCCTCCGCCTCCCCCTCCGCCTCCTCCTCCGCCTCCTCCGCCTCCTCCTCCTCATCCTCCTCCTCCGCCTCCTCCCCTCGCCTCCTCCTCCGCCTCCTCCGCCTCCTCCTCCTCCTCCTCCTCCTCCTCCTCCTCCTCCTCCTCCTCCTCCTCCTCCTCCTCCTCCTCCTCCTCCCCCTCCCTCCGGAAAGCCTCCAGGAGCCGTCCGAAAACCTGGCGATGTCCCGCCTCGGGGTGCGTGCCACCGGCTGCGCCGCGCCGAGCGCGTGCCGGGGGCGGATCCCAAGGGGCGTCGCGAGAGGCCGCCGGAGAGCCGAGCCCTGGGGCGAAGCCAGGGGGCAACGCCAGGGGTCGAGGAAGGAAACACGCCAGAAGCACAAATTCTAGACGCTTCGCGTAGCCCCACCAGCCCATCCAGAAGTGATGCCCAGAGGAATTGCCTCGATCAGGGAAGTGGGCAGCACACAGAGGAAGGGTCCCCCAGTTGAGGCCTCTCGGAGCGTCTTGGGCGCCTGTTAGGGCCTCCTGGGCGCCTCTTGGGGCCCTCTTGAAGCGCTCTTGGGAGCCTTGGGAGCGCTCTTGGGGCCATCTTGGGGCTGGTGGGACTTGTGGCGCTCCGCGCGGATATCTCGGATCCGCACGTATTCGTTCGATCGTTCGGCTTTCGCCGCCGTTGTTCGTCTGCGACGTCGTCGTCGTCGTCGTCGTCGTCGTCGTCGTCGTCGTCGTCGTCGTCGTCTTCGTCGTCGTCGAGGTCGTCGAGGTCGTCGAGGTCGTCGTGGTCGTCGTCGTCGGCGTCGGCGTCGGCGTCGGCGTCGGCGTCGGCGTCGGCTGCTGCCTTTCCCCTCCCTGCCTGGACCTCGCGCACCTCCGGGCGCGCGCGAGGCCGACCTGGAATCTCAGAAGCCACGGCCTGCTTCGGAGGCCCCCCCCCCCCGAGGTCCCCGGCCTGATGCAGTTCCCGGTGCACTTCTCCGCGGCCGCCGAGCCGTGGGCCGGGGCCGCGGCCGCGGCCGGCGAGGAGGGCAGGCCCGCGGACGGCGCGGACACGGTGGGCCTCCCCCCGGGGTGCGGCGGGCAGGTTCGGGAGGAGGGACACGGAGGAGGGCGGGTGGGACAACGAGGAGGAGGAGGAGGAGGAGGAGGAGGAGGAGGAGGAGGAGGAGGAGGGCGCTGATGATGAGAATGATGCTGGTGGTTCGTATGGCAAGTGGTGATGGTGATGGTGGCGATGGTGCGATGATGTGATGGCGTGATGTGATGATGTGATGATGTGATGATGTGATGATGTGATGATGGTGTGATGATGGTGGTGCTGTTGATGATGCCGATGCTGGTGCTGAAGCTGATGTTGCTGATGCGGATGATGACGGCAAAACGACAGGGGCGGCGACGGCGGGCGGCAGCGAGGACGAGGCGTCTGGCACCTCGATCGCAGATTCTCCGGGCTCGAGTCCGGGGCATACCACGCGTTGAAGCGATCAGGCGGAGGTTTTTCGTCGGTTTCGTCCGCCGGGGGCATTCGCCGGGCCGCGGGACCGTCAAAAGACGACTCAGGATGAAAAAAGCCGGTCCTGGGGAAAGGGTCGCGACTTCTGGGGGCCGCGCATTCAACACATCAAGACATCGCATGTCTGATGCCCAGGGTTCCCAGAGAAGTTCTGGTCAGATGGGTCTGGACGATCGCGCCGCATCGCCGACGCATCGGCGATGGCACCCTAGAAGGAGGTCGATCTTATCCGCGCCGACGGAGCCGATACATACATCGCCAACGTCGCCGATGCATCGGCCATGTACTTATTGGGGATTCGGCGTGATATCCTTCGACACTCGGACCATGTTGGAAACCTCCAGAGTCTCGGGCAGATCACCACTAGGGGGGGCCAGCACCTCCTCCTGGAGATCGAGAGGACGGGGGGGGGAGGATCGAAGGTCGAGGAGGTTCGGGAGGCTTGTGGGGCGAGGGGAGAGGAGGGGGAGGGAGGATCGAGGGTCGAGGGGAGGGAGAGGGGGAGGGGGAGGGGGAGAGAGGATATCGAGGGTCAAGGAGGTTTGGGAGGCTTGTGGGCGAGGGGAGAGGAGAGGGGGGGAGGAGGATCGAGGGTCGAGGAGGGGGGGAGGGGGAGGGGGAGGGGAGGGGGAGGGGGAGGGGGAGGGGGGGGGAGGGAGGAGATCGAGGGTCGATGAGGTTTTTGGGAGGATCTTGGGGGCGTTTTTGTTGGTGTCCTACAGGGGTGGTCCAGGGGGTCCGTTCCCTTGGAGGAGGTGGCAGCCCCCTAGTGTTAAGTCGGACCTGTCCCTCTGCAGGAGGAGTATCCAAAAATAGTCAATGGGGACAATGTGTTTAATGTTTATGTCCTACCTATTTTCGATTATGTTTGGACTATTTTGGACCCGTCCTCCAAATCCGCCTGTGGGAGGACATTCGCGACCTAGCCCTGGTGTTGAGCCCCCTCGAAGGCGCTGCCCCAGACTCGGGCGACGAAACACAGATCGAGACGGCTGCTGCTCGTCGCTCCCCGCATCCGGAAGCCGTCTCCCAGGGCTCGTTTCGATTCCTCCGGTTCGATTCGATTCGATTTCGATGGCTTTCGATTCCGATTCGATTCGACTTCGGATGCCAGTTTGGGATCAGATTTGTCGATGGAGGCCCATTAGCCTGCCGATGTCTGCCGATTCGACTTTTCCCGACTCGGTTGCCGATTTCCGTCGATTCGTTTCGTGTCGATCGCCGATCCGACCTGTCGATTCGATTCTGGGCGCTCCTGCCTCCTGGCCCAGGGGCTGCCTCAGATCGGCTCGACGGGATCAGGAGCCGGCCTCAGGGAAGTGGTCGATGGGGCCGGCGAGCGCCAGCCCCGCCAGTCCTCCTCGCCATGGAGGAGAGGGGTCCCCCGGGGAAACCGGTCCCGGAGGTGGGTCGCCGCTTTCTGGGGTCTCCCGGGGCCCTCCCCAGGTCTCGCGAGGCCGTCAAGCAATCAGGAGGGCAAAGACACACCCAGACACAATGAATCGTCGACTCCCAGGAGAGTATGGGAAAGCATGGGCAATGGGGGGAGGACGAACATCCAGCAAGTGTGGACAAGTAGGGGGCGTCCTGGGATTTGTGTGTATTTACAAGTTGTGTGTGTGTGTGTGTCCCGGGACCCCTTGATATGAAGCAGCGGCCCTGGAGGAGAGAGCCCGGTCCGCAGGGGAAGGCCCCGGGGGTCCAGGGCCCGTTGCCCTCAGGGCCCGTGTGGTGGTGCATGCTGGGCTCGCAGGGGCGGTGTCCCGTCGCCCGGGGAATGTCAGCTCAGGTCGGGCCGCTGCCGTGGCCACTTTGGCTCAAGCCACTTGGCTCAAGATTTGGCTCATCTTTTGTGACGGGCAAGCAGCGCGATAACCGGCTTACAGTTCGGATATCTTGTTGCGCGCCCAATGGTTGCACTGGACATGGCTGTCCCTGGGGCAACGTCCACCGGTACCATCTACTGCATTGCGGGTGGCACCCGAGGCGATCAGCAGCCGCTTATCATGACAGCCAAACGTCTTCAGGCCATGGGATACAGGATCATCGTGTGCATAGGCGCTGAGGGCACGGATTGGGTCAAGCAGTGGGGATTCGAGATGATCGAGTTTGCCTCGTTCGAGAAGGTGGTCAACGAAAACCAGGCTGTGCGAGCGGCCGCTGACTCTGGCAACTTCACCGACTTCTTTGAGGCGTTAGGCAAAAGCGTGAATGATAGTCTTCCTCAGGAGATCACCGCAGTCTACGATGCCATCACTGCAGACAAGACCGCCGTTGGCGTCGTGTGCACCAGCATATATTGGCACATCGCAACTATTATGCAAAAGAAGCTAGGCATCTACGGCACGTCCATGTTCATGTCTCCCTTCTTCCCGACCTCGGATTTTGCACCATACATGATCGATACCCGCGATCCCGCTACATGGCAATCTCTCGGCCCGCCGTTTGATACCATGACCGAGCCGCCCGTATGCGCTTACGTGGACTTGTGGTCCGCCATGCTCAACAGTATGACACAAAAGTTCCTGCCTGCATATAAGCAAGCTGTGCAGCTATGTAATGCGGAAGGGCTTTTTGAATTCGCATCGGACGAGGAGGCGAAGGAGTATTGGATTGAGCAGCGTCTCAATGGAGAGCATTCTGAGTCCAACCCCCTCTTCGTTTATTCGAAGGTGCTTGTCGAGAACGGGCCAAGTGGTATCACGCAAAAGCAGTTTGACGCACAGCTAAGCTTTGTGTTCGACGAGAATTCTAACACTCTGCAAACGTCCATGTCGCCCTTCGACGACCGCATGCAGGCATTCCTCAAGGCGGGGGAAGCTCCGATTTACTTTGGCTGGGGCTCGATGTCCCGCGAGAGCAACGATGAGCTGTTGCGCGCGGCCGTCGGCTCGTGCAGGAGGTTGGGCAAGCGGGGCATCATTCTTGGTGGCTGGGCCCACCTGAATTTGGAGATGCTGGACACAGAGAAAGACGCCGACCTGATCGCGTACTGCAGCGCGGGTAACATTTACTTCGCCGAGAAGGCCAACCACATCCTCCTATTCCCTGAGTGCGCCTGCGCCGTTGTCCACGGAGGCATCGGCACCACGGCGTGCATCCTGCGTTCGGGCAGGCCTGGCATCGTCACGCCCTGCTGGTGGGACCAGAACTTCTGCGGCGACCGCCTGGAGGCGCTCGGCGTCGGTCGCCGAGGGCCGCACTTCTCGAAGCTGGACGAGGACAACCTGAGCGCGCTGCTCGGCGAGGTGCTGTCCGAGCCCAGCTATGCCGTGACCTGTCCCAGGGTTCGCGAGGCACTGCTGGCCGAGGAGCCTGGCGACGTGCAGGCCGCGGCGAGGATCGATGCGGGGATCAGGGCCAGGCTGGCTACGCCTCTCGAGAGGCCGCCCTCGCTCAAGCACCGAGCGTCCGTGCCGCCGAGAGGGAGCCAGCAGTCGCGCACGCTACTGGCCAGCAATCGCGCAAGCATGCCGTCGAAGAGGGGCCTCGTGGTGGCCCAGTGAGGGGCTCAAAGGGAGGAGGAGGGGGTGTCGGTGTGGCGGAGGGGGAGGGGGAGGAGGAAGTGGTTGCAGCCAGTGGAGGTGGGCCACCTGCTGCAAGCTTCAGGACATCCGCACGGGTTCGCGCGGTCCTCCTGAGTCCGCGGGCGGGGATCCTGGAATTGGATACGGTGTGCATGCTGATGCGTTTTCCCAGGGTGTTGGCAGTCCCTCGCACTTTTCCTGATATCTCCACAGCTGGTCACAGAAGTTGCGCAGCCAATAGAAATTATTTTGCGAGTCGCATGCCGTTGCGATTACAGTTGGGCGAGTCTCTCCTCCCAGTCCTGTGTTAGGGACCCAGATGAAGCCGCGCTGCCGCACTGCCTCGCGTGTCCGCCAGTCACCCGTGCGCGTCCGAAAAGAAACAAGTAGTCAAATAGGCTGGGTCAATTTTTGTGTGGGGGCCATGCCTGAATCTGTTGTATCTATCTCTTTTGTGTTTCTTCCAACAGCCGGCGGTGGGGAGAAATACGCCCGACCCGATCGTCGCCCGAGGAGTCTGAGCTTTCGGAGGTCCGCGCGGCTTTCCCGGATGGGCGCTGGGCCCCCCGGCGGCAACTCAGGGAGGGGGGGTGGCGCCCTGCGCCGATCCAGAAAATCCGCGCTGACGCCCCCAAGTTTATGTGCATGCCAGCGTGTGTTCTTCTTTCCTCGTCCTCCTCCCCTCCCCCCTCCTCTCGCAGGCGATTTGTCGGCCCAAGCTCCCCGAGTCCCACATTGAAGAATCGGGCCGGTGAGGAAGAACAAAGGGAATTCGGGGATACACCCCCACTGGGACATGCGGACGCATCCCTGTCGATGATGGGCGCCGTGCCATCGCATATCTCCGAGTTTGGCCCCCATATTTCAGGGTCCATTTCGATCCGATCGATCCGATTCGATACCGATTCTGGCCGGCCCGACTCGAGTTGATTCCAATGTTCGGGCGATCCGATGCGACCCGGCGCTTGCCTGCCGCTGCTGTGCCTGTCGTGGGCGAGTCGATCCAATGTCCACTCCGTGCCGATGCAGCCCGATCCGACGCGCGTTTCGGTTCGATCCGAGCTCCCGATCCCAGTGCTGCATCTTCTTGTTCCGTCGGAGCTACCAGGTAAGTCGGGCCTGTCCTTCAGTCCTGCTTGCGGAAGGCTGGCGGGGACAAAATTCCTCCGGTGTATCCGAAAACATGCTGTTTCAGTCAGCGTGCTTGGAATGTGCCCATGTCCTGAGGAAGAGTGTTTGCCGTTAGGGGGTCTTATTTCTGTTCTGAGGAACTGTGCTGGTGTGGCGGTCTGGCGGCTTCGCTGTCGCCGTCGCCGCGCCGTCGCCGCGTCGTCGCTGCCCGTCGGCTAAGACTATTTGCTGTTCTGGCGGCTATGATGCACAACAAAGACTGCACAACCCAGACGACACCACACACATATGTATACATATATATATATATATATATACATATATATATATATATATATATATATACTAGAACCACGCGCGCGTTTCGCGCGCGCTTAGGTTCTCTTTTTGGCGCCTCTTTTGGGCCTCTTGGGGGCCTCTCGGGGGCCTCTTGGGGCGGAAAGCTCGACATGCCGGTTCGTATTTCCCCTCTTGGGTCCCTCTTGGGGTCGTCCTGAAGCCCTCTTGGGCCGTCTTGGGCCTCGCTCGGGCCGTTTGGGGGCTCTCTTGGGTCGGTTTGGGGGCCTCTTGGGGGCATATTGGTGGCCTCTTGGGCCCTCTTGGGACGATGTTGGAGGCTTTTTGCGTAGTCTTGGCGTGTCGGAAGCCCGAAAACGCGAACAGCAACAAAAACAGCGAAAAACACAATGAAAATAGACAATGTTGGCCTCCTGGGGCCTTCTTGGAGGTTCTCTTGGAGCGCTCTTGGGGCCTCTTGGGGGCCTCTTGGGCCATCACGGGGCCATCTTCGGCGGCTTGGTGCGCTCTCGGGCTGTCTTGGCGGCCTCTGGGCGCCCTCTGCGGGCGCTAAGGGGGGCTTCCGAGGCGCAGGGAGCGCCCTGGAGCGTTCAAATAGGCTCGCCGGCGCCGGGGACTAAAGTCGGGTGCGGGGGGGGTGGGGGAGTTTTGGAAAAGTGGGCTGCCCCTGGGCCCGGGGACCTGGACGCCCGGTATGTGTGTGTGTATATATATATAGATCACAACATCAATTACTCAAAATATATTGCACAATCTAGAAAACGTGCGCCGCCGATGCTTATGGTCTTGCTTCACACGCACAAGAGCTGCAAACTCGCCGCTGTACCTTCGGGAGGCGAGGACACTTCCCCTACGGGAGTGTTTTGGAATGGCAGCTTAGGGCCGAAATGGGCCACAACAAAGTGTGATTATTTAATCGCTTCGCTCATGCCGCCGGCCCTGGAGCCCTCTTTAGGGCCTCTTGGGGGCCTCTTGGGGACCTCTTGGGAGTCTCTTGGGGCTCCTTGGCGGCGTTTTGGAGGCCCCCAGGGCCTCTTGGGGGGCTCTTGGGGGTAGTCGATTGCGGCTCCCCCCTCGGAGGCCACGATCCTCGTGAGGGGTGTCGAAAAATACCCTCCCCTGGAGTGGTCTGGTGGCTTCTCCCGGGCTTCTCTCGGGACCTTGCCGGGGTACTTTTCGTCCGGGGGCCTCCAGGGGCCGCTCCGCGCGCGCGAACTAGAAATATTGTTAACAAGTTACCGGAGATCTTAGCACGCCTCTGGCCCGTTGGGCCGGCGAATTTGTCATCGCTTTCTTCCCGCTCTGGGAGGCCAAGGGAGGCCTCCAGAGCATTGCGGCGATCTTGCACGAGCAATTATCCCACATATTGGGATAGAGGATTTCCACGAGTAAGAATCCCACACATTGGGATAACGCACTTAGCACTGTATGTCGTATACTTTCACCTCATCTCTTGTTGTACAGCACTCAGGGGTCGTAAAGTCGTGACATGTCCGTTGCGTGGCATTCCGAGGCGAGGAACAAACAAGTGGCACGCGTGCCCTGGCTCTTGCACCAAGGAGCTGCGAGGGACAGAAGGCTTTCGCCTCCTTCCTCCAGGAGTTTCCTTCTGTGGCCAGGGGGGGAAAACGAACGACGAACGAACGAACGTCGACGACGAACGACAATAAAGAGGTACGAGCTCCAGAACACAGCTGTGCAAGAGAATGTTGCAGCACATACGTTGCACCATTGCATAACATAGATGGCACCACATATATCGCACAACATACGTTGCGCCACGACGAAATGCACATGCCCGCGTCGCCGCGCTCGCATGCCCAAGTCCGTCAAGAACCTTCGGTCTCTCAAGGGTTTCAACATCGAGTGCCCTGAAAACATGAAAACACATTGTTTCGCAGCAAAAATGTTCAAACGAACCTGCGCCCGCGTTTTTTCCTAATTTTTTAGGAACCATAACTTTTCAACATTATCATATAGCGGGCCTCTCGCGCGCGCATGTCGAAATCGTTCGAATGCCCTTGCGAGCGTGCTGTCGCAAACACCCCTTGCAAACAAAAACAAGACAAAGCGCACACGCGCGCGTCGTCCCGCGCGGACGCCAAAGTCTTTCAACACTTCTAGTTTTGCATAAAGATTTCAAGATCAAGTGTTCCGAACACATATTCAAACACATGGTTTTGCAACGCCAGTTTTCAAAAAAACTTGCGCTCGGGCTTTTGTGAATTCTTAGGGGAACCAGAAGCCTTCACCATGTCCATTGCATTCAGCCAAACAGGCCTCTCGCGCCGCATCTCGAAATCTTTCGATCGCCCTTGCGCGCGTGCTGGGGGGGTGTACGATCCGTGCCAACTAATACCATGCGAGCCACTCTCGCGCGTCGGCCGCGCACGCATGTCGAACTCTTTCCAAAACCTTCATCACCGACGCGAGAACGCCTTCATCGTCGTCGGCGTGATCAGCATCGGCGCCGTCACTGGCCTTGCCGTCGTCGCTGTCACCGTCATCACCAGCATCGCTGCTATCATCCTCGTGTCTACCGTTGTCGACGTTGCCATGATACCGTGCCCGCCCAAGTCGCCGACTCGCATTGGCGTGCTTGCTGGGAAGTGCCCAGCGGTCAGCGCCACCGCGGCCGCGTCAGTCGCGCCAAACTAGCTGGCCGATTCGCGCACAAGCAGGCACGGGCTAGCGCGGCCGCAGAGATGCACCAGCCAACACCAAGCAGTCATCGCAATCGCTGTTGCATGGGTTTTACAAACCAAGTTTCGGGCAGGTGTGTGGGATGATTGCGCGAGCAGTGGAGTTGACAATCCACTGCGAACCAAGACAACCCACTTCGAACATAATCGAATTGCACGACATATGCGGCAACACGTAAATTGTACAACACACATTGCACCAGGTATATTGCTAGATGCATTTTCCGATCCAAGCCCATCCAGCGACCCGATGCTGGTTGCCCATGCCTCCTTTCCCCAGGGGTGGGGAGATGGATGGGCAAGAGGGGGTCGGAGGTGACGCAGATGATGCGGAACCTGCCGAAGAAGCTGACGCAGCACGGGCTCCTGGAGGAACCTCTTCCAGTGCGGGCCCGTCCTGCGAGAGTCACTTGCACGAGCCCGGGCATCCGGCGGCTCGGAGAGATCGAGACGGCCATCGTCTCTCCATCTTCGGCCTCTGCAGAGGCAGGCTTCGCGCCCCGGGGCAAGTCGAGAAACAGCTCTGGATGAGAAGCCGTCCCTGGGGAAGTGGTCGAGAGATGTGGGGGCCCATGGAGACTGTTCTTTGGGGTCCGGCGATCAGCTGGATTATCGGGCCCGCCCGCCCCCTCCCAAACCCCCCCTTCACCCCTCCAGGTAATTCGACCTTGCGGTTTGCGCAGGTCCTGATAGAGTACGCAGCACTGGTGCGCGCGAGAATACGTGCGGTTGGCGAGAACGAAAATGCTAGATTATCCGCCAATGCATCCCCCCCGCCCCGCCCATCTAGATAACCCAGGTTATCGCCGCACAAGAAAGAGCTACGTCATGTCGCGAAGAAGTTGATCAGCCGGATGCTTGGGTTCGGCGGGCTGCGCGGTAGCGCAATGCGCTTGTGCGAGCGGCAGGGGAGGAGAAGCGGCCGCGAGTGGAGGAAAAGAGAGGCTAGGCCTCCAAGATGGGCTCGGAGTAGATGTGGTCGGAGGATCGCGACGCATCGCCGATGCATCGGCGATGCGGCCCGATGTGGAGCCCGATCCTCTCCACGAGGTGGGAAGGAGGAGGGTGGCGGGAAGGAGGAAGGACGGAATTGATCCCCCGACCTCATCTTATCCGACCCCAACCGGGAGGCCCCCGCTCGGGCGGTGAGCGCCATCCAGGGCGGCGCAGGCGGCCTCCCGAGCACGTGCCCCTCCAGGCCTTACTGCTGCTCGGCGGTGAAGTCCAAAGCCTAACCCTCGCCGATCAACGAT